GATCGCTGCGACAAAAATTTCTCACAAACAAGCAATATAACTGTGGATAATCTATCAGTAAACAATGCTAAAAGTAATGCTAAAAATGTTAAAAAATCTGATCGACAGGTTTCATTTGATATAACGCGCACGTTTGAAAGAAAATAAGGGAATAATTATATCCAATTACGGATTCTTCGATACTTTGTGTCACATGAGGTAGAATTGAAAACAATGCCACGAGCATTTACCGATAAGTATAACCGCGGGATAATTAAGTTTATTGCAAAACGCGCCTATATACACTGTCGGCGTATGCTATTGCTTTCAATGGTATTCTTATAAATCGTATAATCGACGTTCGTTCCACTCGCCCAAGTGTTTAGCTGACATGTGTCGAAACTCCGTCGCAGTCATTTTCAAGCGATTATATGTATGTTCTTTCGTTAATGAGACTTTACAACAACGCGTCGTAAGGTTTGTATTTTACTTACGATGTAGTTTACGATAATGATCGAACATTGACTCTTGCGTCCGACTTATTTCCTGAGGAGACACAGTGGCCTTGTAAAATGCGTTCGGTCAGCACAAATTACAGCTAGATATATGGTAGATACTCGCGAAATGAAACGACGCACAGGCGCGCATATGATAAATGATATAACTAAATTAGATTATAAACGCTACCATTCGTTATCATTCCTCTCCTTGCTCTTATATTTCGCTCTCATTTCAATATTAAAAATTTCACATTACCTTCTCATTCTCACACAGATGATAGTAGTCTTTAAATTGCAGACATGCGGTGGTACTTTCTTTGGTTAGCCTTGGCGCATTGTATAATCGCACTTCCACTCGAAGCACAAGAGGTGAGTAAGAGTTGATACTCTTTTACCATATATCGAACATTTTTCAACTTATCATAACGACATCATACACATATCAACTTGAGAAAAAGAAAGAGGAAAAGACTCTATTGCTTCTTTTGAAATAAGCTACCGAATCTCTGTAATAAGCTAGTACAATTGTACAAATATTATATAATCCGATCGATTTTGAACCTTTTGATTTCGTTCCATCAAACTCCCTGCGTCATACGATTCGATCGTAAGCCACAGGCTTACAGCTGCAGCGCGTAAAACGAGAGAAGTGCGCGCATCAAATAGATAAGATCAAATTATTAAATTGTCATACGGATTAAAAAAATGAATTATTATGCTATAATAAGACAAGGTTGTCGATGCGTGTCCGCGTATACAATATCGTTCGAGTAGAGTTTGTCTTGTTTAGATGTTTGCGTCGTGTACGCATCTCTTCCCGCGACTCGAGGAAATCGTGCTGTCGTGAGCTTAGTTACAAGTAGTTACACGAGCAACGAGCCTTAGAAAAGAATAAATATTCAAACTGCTGGGAAACTTCCTTATAGTATATTTCAGAATAAACATTAACGCGGGAATTTCCTTTAATTTCTTAAATACATAATCTCCCTCTCACGAGTTTCGCATTAACATGCGCATAGCTTTGGTACGTATTCTATTTGGTATTAGAAAAAACAAGTGCGAACAATATTCGGGGGAAGAGCGTCTATAAATATTGAGATTTAATATGGCCAGAAATACGGCTGATCGTTGGTTGTGAATCTCTATCTCGAACAGTATCCTTTTACCTTGTGCTATTCTCTAGCCAATTCGAGCAACCAGCGACTATGCGGCCACCGGATGTTGCTCCTGCCAGTTTGAGGATACGCGATACACGAGTGGTTGCGACGGTGTCAGTAGTTTTATGACGTTGGTTCACCATGCGATGTCCTCCAGATGCGACATTACTGATCCTTGTCGACGATTGGGCAGAGACGAAGCACCGAGCGAAAACGAATGGTAATTCAAGAGATTCGCCCAATCTTACTATTGGTGCATTAGTGCAAAAATATTTGTATTCTATTCGTCTATATTATAAAAAAAATCACCCGCGTATGTTGTTATTTTCATTTTAACGTTTTTAGGTTTGACTTTGTCATTGTCGGGGCAGGTGTGGCTGGGCCAATAATCGCGAGAAGACTGAGCGACAATCCGTGGCGAAAAGTTTTGCTCATCGAAGCTGGCCCGGAAGAACCTAGTATGACAGCTATACCAGGATTTGCGTTCAATGCTATAAACACGTCCCTCGATTGGAACTTTAAGACGGAACCAACGTTATCGCATCCTACCGCCTGTTTGGGTACATATAAAATACTTAAAGTATCAATTCTCTAAAAGTCCTAGACCAAAATACAGCTTTCATTTTTCCTTTCATTTTCCATATTCATTTTTCCGAAAAACTTGAATACATCTGAAAATTTTCCGTGCGTATACCGTGTTTTCTTCATTTTAGGAACGGGCGGCGTTTGCACCTGGCCACGAGGCAAAATGGTCGCCGGAACCGGCGGCTTCCACGGTATGATGTACATCCGAGGGCATCCTGAAATCTACAATCACTGGGCGCGGGAGGGTAACTCAGGTTGGTCCTACGACGAGATCAGTCATTATTTTGAACGGGTGGAAAACCCAATCGACCCAACAATCTTGTCGGACAAGCCTAGAACCCTGAAGGAGGGCGGCCTGATGAATATTCAGTATTATTCGCACAAGCCGAATTTCACAGACGTACTGTTGGCGGCCGCCGGTCAGCTGGGTTACAAAACCTCTCGGTTAAAGGAGTACAACCAAACTGGCTTCATGATTGCGCCAATGACGATCGAAAATGGTATGCGCCTCACGACTTCGAGAGCATATCTGAGACCTGTTCACAACCGCAAAAATCTACGAGTGCTAACGAACGCGCGAGTCACCAGGATCATGATTAGCCCGTGGGAGCAGAAGGCTTACGGCGTGGAACTGATTGATAAGAACGGCCACAAGAGGGTGGTGAAATGCGATAAAGAAGTGATCCTGACAGCCGGTGCCATCGGCTCACCGCACATCCTTATGAATTCTGGCGTGGGACCCGAAAAGGATCTTACCAAGTTCGGTATTAAAGTGCACAAAGACCTGCCGGTTGGTAAGAATTTGCACAATCACGTGTCCGTCGGGGTGCCCATGAGCATCAGGGACATCCCATACGAGGTCATGACGATGGACGCCGTCAACGAATATTTGGAGAGCAAGACGGGCGCGTTGGCCAGTACCGGTATCACTCAGGTCACTGCTTTTCTCGAGAGCAGTTACGCGATCAACGGCATGCCGGATATCCAGGTCTTCTTCGACGGTTTCAGTTCCATTTGTCCGAAAACGGGTCTACCTAACGAGTGCACCAACGGTAAGATTGGCCAGTCCGACTGTCCGGACAGAAGGGAGATCGTGGCGAGACCTACGGCGGTTTACACGGAGAGTCGAGGCGAACTGAAACTTGGTTCGAATAATCCTCTGGACCCACCGCTCATCTATCCGAATTACTTTACAAACGAGAAGGACCTGACGATTCTACTCGAAGGCGTCAAGAAGATTAGCAAACTCGTTGACACGCCCGCCATGAAAAAGTGGGACCTTCGCTTGGAACAAGTGACAAGTCCATTGTGCAGCGAGTAAGTAATGCTGAAAGTGTATTCGCTATACAGGACAAGTTTTCTTACAACTTGCAGCATTCATTCTGAATCTCTGATTCGCCTAGATGAGCTTGTAATCTTGTACATCTCGTAATCTCGACCTTTCCTTAGCGAAATTGTCGAAAGTCGAGGTATTAATAGTTTTCGAGATACCAACGACTCGAGAAAGCGGTCTTTCCGAGAACAAAGTAAGACGAAAGAGTGTCTCTCAAAAGTCCAAAACTACGACAGTTTTCGGACAATTTCATCTCCATATCTGCAATAATTCTACGTGTAATTCTTGTTGATTCGTGTACTCTCGTCGATTTAGATGTACGCCAAAATGTGATACTTTTAGTTTCTCTCTCTCTCTCTCTCTCTCTCTCTCTCTCTCTCTCTCTCTCTCTCTCTACCCCTCACTCTCTCTCTCTCCCCCTCTCCACCTCTACCACCCT